CCTGCCGCTGTTCTTTGTTTCCATGGTTCTTCATGCCTCCACCCCCCCAAACAGGTTTCTTTCAGCAGCTGAGCCGCCGATCGTCCGCAGATGTGCAGCGTTTGTTCAGCAGAGCGAGGGAAACTATGTTAAACAATTCAAGTGATCTGACCCAATCACCATGCTGTTCCACCGCCATCCTTCCCAACGTGGTAACTGAGTTCACTGAATACAAGTGTCAGAGTGTGTGCACGTGCTGGTTCATTCTGTCAAAGTCAACTTGACTTGGACTATTTGAGACATTCTATATACTCAAGGCTGCGACAAGAAGAAGCAGAAGTTGAGCGGTTGTCGGAAGAGGCAGAGCTAATAGGGCTCAACTTCAAGTATATATCATTCTTTGCTTTGACCAGCAAACTACCCGGCCAGTGCGCCAGTGTGTTCTTGGTGGTTGGCAGGTTCTTCAACATCAGTCAAGAATTCAACAGCAGGAGGAAGAGCTGCTTTCCTTGCGGAAGGACGACAAAGTCCATACTGGGAGTTTCGACGGAAGACGCTCACAGCAATATCCTCATAAAACACACCGACATGGTACTTGCTTGATCGACTATGACTTATTGCTTTGGTATGCAATAAGCAGATGTGTGAATCCAAACAATATTGCTGCAGAAAGAAACATTGATATTCCTCTCATCATACCATAGCTCATTTCAGCCAAGCAGAAGTGGACAAGCACATCCTGTGGCTCGCAGGATGCCTTTTGGTGGAGGTTGCTTGCGCACCAATCGAAGAAGCATGCACCTCATGCGGAATTTGCTGCTTGCATGTCATTGCTTCAATCAAAACCACATGGACTTAGGCTTGAGGAAGTGAGATGTGAAGACCTAGACTATGTGTTGGAGGCTATTCAGCACGGGGAGAACAGGGTGTACTGCTTGTCAGTTGTTTCTCCATCACCAACATCTTTGCTCTTCGCACATGCTTGCTCTTGTTCTCAGCCAACAGGTTGCAATACCTGGCATTGCTGATCTTCAAGCTGAATCACGAGTTGGCCCCTCAAGGGGGGCGACATCTGTCGCTCCAAAGACCCACCTCTGGTATCGTCTCAGGTGAGGGCGCGCAATGCCCGCGGCCAACTTCGTGATGAGCCGCCACCTTACAGTGTCCTTACAGTGTCTCCGGACCATAGCATTTGGCACAGAGCCTGCCGAGCAAGCGTGTGAATGATAAAGATGTAGCTGGTTCGGATCTCACATACTGACTGTAATTTTTCCGCAAACTCAGCAGCCCTTCGCAAAGCTTGCAAACTAATATTGGAAACCTCTCAAAGCTCTTACCTTTTCTTACAACTCAGGCTAGAGCAGCAGCTCTGTGCAGTCTGCAGGGATGCAAAGAAGGATTGGTCAGTTCTTTTTTACCCGTATGGGTCGTCCGTGGGTCGTCAACCTACACGACGTCGCCAGGCCGTTCTCTTCCTTCCATGCCAACATCTATGTGTCTGTGAAGGCCGGTTTGGACGGTCGGCTGGTCGAACTGTTCCAGCTTCTTCTTCGGGCAAAAAGTTGCTCGGCAGGTTGCAGGATCAAGCTTCGCCCATACCGGTGTCCAATGTGTCAGGCTTGCCGGGAAGAGTAGGTGATGTATAAGTCCGTATGAAGATGTTTGGACGGCCCACGTTTCTGGGTTTCACCTGCCTTTTTTTCCTGCTGCCTGGCTCTTGTTTCAGGAACCTATCCAAACACACATCTCGCGGGTTCATTTTTAAACGTTTATCAGTGATGCGGCCGTAGGTCTAGGTCTGTCTCAAAGGCAGCCATTGCTGCTGTTACCAAATCTATTCAATTTTTTGCCACTGGAGCGTCCCTAAATTCAATTCGGTGCCGCTGGCCAGCAAGCGTTTCAATGCGAAACAGCGCCGTTGCATCCTGATTTGCCATTGGGGAGCTGCGATGATTGTTCTATCGATTGTAGATCACAAGATGCACACTCTAGTTTGGTATTTGTTGATGCAGTAAGCTCCTCAGGAGGCATATGTGCATAGAATAGCAACAGCCGTATTTACGTGAAGAAGCAAAAGGGCAGCATCGTCATAGACTTGCCACTTATTCTTGCCAAGAATGTTGATAGCTGCACGACACAAGATTGATCTGTAGCTATTGGATCAAATTCAGATAGATTTCCTGAGAGCAGCGGGGCCAGGCCGAACATGCTTTCTCCCAGCTTTGTCGCATGCAGTTGGGACTTTGATCAGCTTGATCTACTCGAAAGTGGCCTTTGCGTTACTCTAGACTCTACTTGCGCATGTTCGTTGGCTGAGGCAAGTGCCCGTCGACCGACATGGCTGAAGTTTGACCTGCTTGTTTTTTGCATCGACTATTGTCCACTGTGGAGGGAGTTTGTCCAGGTCATCACTGCATCGAAGAACTTACAAGTACTCTTGTAGTTGACCCACAAGCAGATGATTTGATGACCTCCTTGTTTGCAAACTCGTTGCAACCTCTTGATTTGTGCTTTTGGCTTGCAGCACATCAGTCATCTCTATGTCCTTCACACGATGGCAGATCATTTGCTTATCAGTTTTCTTCATGTTCACACGAAGACTATTTCACAAGCTTGTGCAGACAGAGAAAACCAACAAAACTCTCCAATTCACTCGACTCTGCAATTCAACCGCAGACCGCAGGAGGTGTGACTGACCGGGGCTGGGCAAACGAAGGGGCTGGGGCAAACACAGTCGCCTTGGACTCTGGTCGCTCTCAGTCGCCTTGGACTGCTTCGCTCGCCGTCAGGTTGGACTCCATGGCAGCCGTCGCCTTGTCTCCGCCGATTGCCATCACGTCGGTCTCAGGAGTTGGACTCTCAGGACTTGGACATGTTGGACTCATTTGTGAAGCCAGATTGATCCACCACACTGGCAGGTGGGGCTCAGGTAAGCCTCTGGAGTCATTAAAGGAGAAAGAAAGGGCTTGTTGGACCTCGAAAAGTAGACCATTGCCCAGATCACCAGCTAATCCGGCTCGACAGAAGGTTCTCGGAATTTCTTGCAGTTAAGAGATGCGAATGCTTTGGTTATGGCTTTGGCAGGATACAATGAAAGCATGGCAGTGTGACGGCATTTGACCCTCAAGGTCTCAAGGTAGCAGATTTGTACAGTTTCTCCCCTGCTCTACCCTTGGAATAATTCTTGTCGCTCTGAATGGAAGAGGGCTCATCTCCGTCTTTGGAAGTGGTGGACTGTAAGGCAATTATTGAGGTTTTAACTGTGAAAGAAGTCAAACAGCTGCTGAAAGACTGGAATGTCGATGTCCGCGGTTGCATTGAGAAATCAGAGCTGGTCGATGCATTGGTGAAGCGGATTGTTGAAGACCCCAAAGCCACAGCATCACTCTTCAGCTACTGCCGTATTTGCTGCAGCTGGCGGTTGGACGATGATGTTTGGCCACTCACCTGTGGGCACTTGGCTTGCTTTGACTGTTTGGGCAGCCACCTTGAATCTCAGGTCCAACGCATGAAGGCTTCTCTCCAATACCGCTTGCCATGTATTTTTGCCCCAGCTTGCCAGCATGAGATCCGCTTTCAGGATGCCGCTGAGATGTCTGCTGCCCTTCGCAAGATTGGGAAAGATTTAAAGGATCGCGAGAGGTTGATCAAAGATGCAAAATTTGAGGTCTTAGAATGTCCTAAGCCAGACTGTGTTGGAGTCGCCTACTACGAGCGTGGTCGGCGCATGGCAATGTGTTTCATGTGCGAGCATACCTGGGAAGCCAATGCATCTGGTCGTGAAGAGGAGTGGGAGAAGCCTGGCTTCAACGGAGAAAGAGTTCGTAGGTGCCCCAAATGTCAATCACCAATCGAGAAGAATGGAGGCTGCAATCACATGACTTGTCGATGTGGACGTCACTTTGATTGGAGCTCCAGTCAGTCCGCCGGAGAACCGGCTGGACCTCGGAGAGAGACAAGAAACACCGAAGCCACGGGTGGTGACTTCGACGCGGGCGATGTCTTTCGCGGTCTCTTTGGAGGCTTTGGGAGCAATCGCTGGGAAGCCCATGTAGCTGACGCAGCCCATCAGGCTGGGTCCCAAAAACTCGTCTAGCCTAGCCCTTGTTTTTGCTGGACACTTCAAGTCCTTGAAGGGTCGACCGCCATGTCCCGATGTTTCGACTGAGAAGCCACAAAGGGGAGTTGGCTTCGACTGAGAAGAACGCACCAGATGTGCAGGTTTATTTGTTTGAATATTTTCTTCATTCAGTCTTTATACCTCATCTCTTGTTTGGGGGATCACTCTTCCAGGTCGCTTTGTTGGTGGTATGAAGGACACCAATAGAAAAAGTGTGTTGCGAAATGAGCATCGGTTGTTCAACACAAAGAAAGGGTTTGAGTCTAGACCTGAGCAAAGCCAACCTCACAATGGAATCTTGGCAAACTATAGACCAAAAAAGGTTTTGCTGCGCTATCATGCGCAAACATTGTTCCGTAGCATTTTTCCTTCTTTGCCTTTACGTGTCCTGCCAGGTATTTAACGTTGCAAGTCAAGCTGCTCATCATGCTGCACACCATGCTCAGCATGCCGCAGCACATGCACAGGCACATGCACAGGCTGCACAAGCAGCACAGGCAGCAAGTGCTGGTGTAGGCAGACCACCTCAGAGCGGGTTTGTGCCCAATCCCCCTCGAGAAACTCGAGAGGGGGGGCACTGCGACTCAAGAATGTGCTGTGATGTAATAGACTTGGGGAGCTGAAACTCAGAGTTTTCAGCAGCTCGAGCTTTGAGAAACAGCTTTCCAGCAGCTGTTTTCGGTCTTGAGCTGTTTCTCTTGCCGAGGTCTTGAGCCTGCTGGAAGAGCAAGAAAACCAGCTGCAATGTGCTGCACTACAGCGATTGAATGAGGCCTAAAGTATATAGTTCTTTTGGCCTTGCCTTTTCAGCAACTGTGGAGCAATTCCTGTAGGGCTTTTTCATTCATACCCCGAGGCATTAAATTAATCTTTAGACGTTATGACCAATTGGATGGAGGGCAAATGTTTTTTTCAGTGCTGCAGCGTCATGTGAGTCATGTCGAAATCCTGCAGGTGGTAGACCAGTTCTGGCACGAAATTGCAGACTACCTCAATGAAATAGAGACTTTGTACGAGGACATACTTTCAGCACTCCTCTTGAATCAAAATTGCTTCATTCGATGCAGTGCACCTTCGTAGCTCTCAAGGATCCGGCCTTCTCTGGTCGTGAAATGGCTGCCCTGGTGGCTTCCAAGGTCTTCTACCACTTAGAAGAGTGACCCGTCTCGACCGGTGGGGAGATTTTCTGCTTAGCGTGTCGGGTGGCGGCTTTCAGGTACGACGATGCCTTAAGATTGGCCTTGGGTGCAGGACGACATGACACGGAGTGACACGGTACCGTTTTTGCCTGGTGCCATCGCTACTAGGTTGGAGGCCGTCGCTACTAGGTTGGAGGCCATCGCTATTAGAATTGTTTCTCACGCCTGCGACCGAAGAAGTCGTAGAAACTGCAGGACAACTCTTCGATCTCTCACAGCGGACTGAATACGTGGCCAGGTGCTTAGGTCCTAGTGGCTATGATCTCTGTTTTGTTCTTAGGGGCCACAAGCGACCGAAGGCATCCAAGCCAGACCAGACCTACCCCAACCATTTTGGTTTGTTGGTCCCAGCTCCATTCTGTGTGTCATGCAGCAGAGTTGATTTCTCAACTTGATTACAACCTGCAAGGAGAAGATTGTGGCCGTGGCCATTGATGAATATGCAACTTGACCATTTACTGGAAGTACCTGTCCATCAAAGCCCTGTGCTTTGGCCTGTTGAGTCGACTTTGCTTGCGAACGGAGGTGAAGCTCCGAGCAGAGAATTTTGAGCTGGAGATGAAGAAGAAGGAGACTTGAGTCTCTTGAGCAGAAAAAGAACCAAACCCGGGCCTTTCAAACCTTTCCTCTAAAAAGATCAATTTCTTGATCTTTTCTTTGCAGCCGATTGACTCGACAGGATCCCGTGCCGATTGACTCCAGACTGGAGGATGTCGTGAACCGCATGTTCTTGCGCTGCCTGGAGGACCGTTGTGTCCAAACGGTCGCGGCATTCAAAGACGGCTCTAAGACGCTCAAAGACCACAGTGATCGATGAAGAGCTGATCACTTCCCAAGCTGCGTGGCGGGTCCTGGATTATTTCTTTTCCATGCTCTTCCATTTGGGATTGGATGTTAGGGATTTGCTGGAGTGATCCTTTCGTTGCCCGTGGTCCGTTGGACGGTGTCTTGGGGAGGACAAGGCCTTCAAGCAGGGTCTAGGGATGGCGCTGGAGACTCGCCGGATCGACAAGGCGGGCGGTTGCGGATGGCAAGCGGATGTGTGTCTCTCTAGACAGCCAAGGTTTCTACAGTGCAATAAGTATCGAAGCCCATGGAAGTCCCATGTTCTTGTCCATGCGAAGGAAGGACAACTCCTTCTTGTATTCGTGGTTTGCTTGCTTGACCTGCTTCATCAATCATCAAACATGTTTCAACCACCCTTTTGACCTGATGCTTATTCAGAGATACTCGGATCCTCCACAGGTGACCGAGTTCGTGATGAAAAGCGAGAACCTCTCTGAGATGCTCGAGCGAAGACCTGAGAGCAGCTGACAGGTGACAGCTTTACAAAGCATGCCGCTTGCTTTCTGGTCAAGGTATGCGCAGCTTAGTGCCATGACACTCCTGACTTCAAAAGCCTTTAGAGAGCGTGTTCTGCAGGTGGTGTCCTCAGCTCCCTTGTGTCTGCAAGGTTTGTTAAATAGATTCCGTTTGCCAGGCCCTCGTAGAGATCCACACCTCTGTGAAGGAGAGTCGATGTTTTGCACTTCTCACAAGTGCCCACCCAAGCGGGACATGCCATTTGCAGACCGCCAGGATGTAAATCTCAGTGCACTGGCACAGTGCTACTTCATCTTAGGAGAGCCAGAAGAGGCCAGAACTTGGATTCGATTGGGTGGCTGTTTTGAGTGCTTTCACACACACACAAGGTGGCAAAGATTCTGAAGGAGCTTCTTGCGAAGCCAGACAAGGACCTAATCATTGGATGTGTTGCGCACGCCCTTTTTTGACCTGTGAGATAGGAGCATGCAGAGGCATAGAAAAAGCGCCAACAATGAAATCAGTAAGATGTTCAGGGATCTTAACCATATCTATATTTGACGGTGACAAGCCTATGGCCGGCAGGCAAAAGAAGCGTTCCACGATTCCATGTGGACATTCCAGTGTGGAAATTTGAGAAGATGCCGCTGTTTGGGAATTTAGCATTGCTCGAATCTAGTAACACACCATGCAAGTGAAGGACGACACGGGTTCCGATCTGACAACAAGTTACCAGACATGGCTCACGACTGGTCATGGAACTAACGCTCAACGCTCGGCCCTTGTTCTTGACGTGGTCTGTTCGTCCCCAAAAGTGGTTGCTGTGGGGCCGAAAGACTTTGCTGCACCGGTCCCCAACTTGATGTTGTCGACGGTGAAGAGGGCTTTTGCAAAGTGGGTTATGAACTGAAGTTGGATGCTTTATTAAGCTTCTCACCAATAAAGTAGAAGACAAGTCCAGTGGAATCACAGTGTTGGACATTGCAGGACGGGCGCTTGCTGGCATGTCAGATTGGCTTTGATATTGTAAGACACTTACGCTGTGGACAAAACGTTGTGTCGACTTCATTGACTTCCATGCCTAGTCTAGCTTCGTGGGACCAAGGTGGACAATGAGAGCCAGCACTTCTGCAATGCCTTATTGTCCTCCCCGCTCCTGAAAATCAAGGACTTCACAGTTGAAAAAACGCAGAGTCAATGAGACCACTTCAACCGCCTCAGTCTTGTGCAGCGCTCGCTGCGAGGAACCTCCTCCACCCCCTCCAGCACCTGTTGAAGCTGCAGAATCTTGGTGCAAGCACAACAATCAACATGACTTGCAGCATGGAAGTGTCCTCTCTTGCCCTGTAGAAAGCGCGTGCCCGCGTGCGCTAATTTTTTCCCTTTTGCAGGCTTTTCTGCAATTTCATTTTCTTGTTGAAAACACACCTTGAGAGTAAGAAGCCAAGGAAGCTGCTGCAGCACCTGCAGAAGGTGCGCCCGCTGCCGACGCATCTGCTGAGCCTGCGCCAGCTGCACCAGCTGCACCAGCTGCAGAAGCACCTGCAGAGCCCGTGCCAGAAGAGGGCCCGGAGATGACAGATCAGGCCGGGCCCCAGATCAGTTGCACATTCTCATAAGACGTTTCTGGTCTTGGGTATGACTTGATCTTCTTTAAGCGGTGGAGTTGAACCTGCCAAACTTTTGAGCGGAAGTGGCAGCTTGCGGTTGCTCATGCTATGGTAGTAGACTGCGGCAGTACCAGTATTCAGTATTGCTTGTTGCCTTTAAAGACTGCAGCCAGGAAAAGGAGGACCTGACTCTGATTCGGAAGATCCTCTCCGGCCGATCCTCGATTGACTTGCCGAAGCCTCAAAAGACCCGAGGTGACGTGTTGTGTGAAGAGAAAGGAAGTCCATCCATTTTGCTTTGAAGCCTTTCTTGTTTTGGAAATCCTTCCGCCCGACACTTTTGGGGGGGCCCGAAAGACTTGACCGGAAGACCAGGCAGATGGAATTCCTGTACCGGAACAACCGGTCCGTCGAGAACTCACTGTGCAACTTCAGAACCGTTACTTTTTTTTTTGCGACATTCTTCATTTCTGAGGATCTCCTCCTTTTAGACACCATCAAGAATTCGATTGATACCAAGCGCCCCAGCCGCCATGCGCTAGTTTCTTGCACCGTTTGAAGTCTCTTCTTGCCCATTGCATCCGCGTTTCGTTTTTTCAGGAACTCCATCACTCACAGTGGCACTGTCATGGCACATGGCCTGATGCAATGTGGAACCACGAGTGACGTGTTTCTTCGCACGGGGCCCAGCCGATCTCGCTCTCCCACGCCAACCCGAGCTGTTCTCACAAGCTGCCATGCGTTCGAGGCAAAAACCTGGAATGGCTGGCCAAGGCTTCCAACTGGGCCAAATTCAGCGCGACGGCCTCCTTAGGTGCGATGCCTCGCTAGCGATGGTGCGATGCCTCGTTAGTCCAATGATACTTCAGGTGTCATTCACAAGGGACACATCAAGGAATCAAGGCAGGCGCACTGGTTACCTGGAAAACAGTCATGTCATGTCCCTCGGGGAAGATGAAGATAAGCAGGTCAATCCTGAGCACATACCTGCCGCAACAAGGAGGCGTCGGATGGGCATATGTGTGTTTAGAATCAGAATGTGTTATTTTTTGTGTGCTTCTTTCATCTACCAATTTGCCACTCACGAGGCACCCGAAGCAGCCCATATTCTGAAGGTGGTGCACTCTATGGAATGGGCCATGTGCTGAGACATGCTGCGTTAGCCTTGCAGCTTGCGGCTTGTTGTGGTCGTGTCCTGTGACTAGGCCTGATTCATGCGAACCACTATGATCAAGAAACGAAGGCAGGTGAGAGAGGAGGATGTACAGACTTTGGATTGGCGTGGATGTACAATGGCTGGGTGGTTGGGTTCACTCTTGCATGTACAATCGAGGCCTATTTGTTGGAACAGTTGCACAACGCCCAGGCGACAGAGGCCAGTTTTTGCACGTGTTTCCACCAGCCTGCACCCCTTCGGCAAAGGCTTATATATGTATGTATATATATATAAATACACAAGGGGATCCAACGCATCTCAAGTGAAACTAGAGTTTTGGGTACCAGATTTCGAACGCACATAGACAGAAAAGCTTCCCTGCCCATCATTTTAGCCTATTCTTTGGGCATTTACCTGCTCTGTGATTTCCAGATGATCATAACCTCAAGTGTTTTCACAGTATTTGCACAGGTCTTGCAACATGGTGCTTGTTTGGGCCTTGGCACAGCGCTCAGCCAAACCAACGGCCACGGACAGAAGCCGTTTGACGGCTGCCGTCATAGGCCCTTCATCGATCTGCTGCCGAAGCCGGTCGGGACGAGCCGTCAGGCCTTCTTTGCATGGCAACAGCCGATGAGCGAATCTATGATGAGCTCACACAGACTTTGCTGCATCCTTGGAGGGAATCCAAAAAAAGGCCCAGTCAGAACTTGAACGGCTCAAATCCCCAGTCGACCATTTTTGGCCAGTCCCTACATAAACCACCACTTGGGATTGGAGCCAAGAGTCCTGACGGGGATGTATTCCGTTGAACTGGTGGCAATATTCTGTTGAACTCCACAGGTTTTTGAACTGGTACGTCGAAGAAATCCAGCTGTCGCTGGATCAAAAACTACGAGGTACACAGACACAGCTGTCGCTGGCGAAGCTGCAGCATATGCCATTGGTCTGGTCATGGTGGGCTGCCAAAAGACCAGATTGTCTTCATTCTCGCCAAGTTTGTTCAGTCTTATCATTGGTCAGTGAAGATAGTGTGGCCTTTCTTGACCTAGAGCTGAAGCACGTACTGTAAAGTTTTAGGTTGGATCTGCATCGCAGAAGGCCATTGACGAGTCAAGTGCTAAGAGACTTCAGTATTTTATACTGTACCTATATTTTTGCTTGACATGTTCTTGCCATGGCATCCCAGCTTTTGATTGCGTGGAACACACTCCCCCAGCTTTTTGATGCCTTGCTGTTGTGCTCAAACAGGTTCTACGGTCTAACTAGGTCTGTCGTTTCAGCTTGCAGCCATGGCTGGCATGCTGCTGTACGTTCTATGGGTTCTGCCCTCAGGAGATGCTGAGATCATGTCAGTAGCACCCATTAAAGTCACAACACACATGCGCGCACGCGCGCACACAAACACAGAGACAAGCCGGAAGCCATGTTCAGGTTCCCTAAGAATCTGGAAGCCAAGTCTGGTAGCCAATCTGGAAGGCACTAGTAACTAGTAGCTTGCCTTCTACCTTTTCCCTCATCCCCCCGCTTTAGCGGCCTACCTCCGCCAAAAGAAGATGTTATCTAAGCTATCTCTCATACTATCTGAAGCCACCTGTGACACGCTGGGTCTATTTCAGTTGGCGCTGGCGCAAGCGCGTCTCTTCAGGTGCTGCCAACAGCAGCCACTCGTGCACCTCCGTTGTTGCTCGGACATGACCCATGCCACTCGTGGCTCCAAAAAAGAAACGGAGACCATTTTGTTGTTTTCGACCGACCGAGCTTTTGAGACCACTCATTCCTTCAGCCTTTGGGAGGCCCGGTGTCCGACGGTGTCCCTCGACAGGGACCGCCCGAAAGGCGGTCCGAGGGAAACACCACCTCCGACCTTGACGCCCAGGCCTTGCACCGATTCGGTGGTTCCGAGCCTTTCGGAGGACCCGGAAAGGGGGGTTGGGGTGGCGGACGGGGGCGGGGGCGGCGCAGACGGCTTGGGGCCGTGTCCGAGGGTTTCGGCACGGAGCCATGTCTTCAACGGTGTTTTGGGGCAGTTGCATTGGACCTTGATGGTGTTGAGCATGCAGCAATGCTTTTTGTGATGGTGTTCAAGGGGTCGAATCTACTGTTAGTAAGGGTCCACGCGTTGGTCGCTTTCGGCGCTTTCGCCACAATGGCATACCTTTTTTTAAGGACTGCGAATCAGAACTTGTCTTACAACAATCGCAGAACAATCTTTTTCAAGCGGACATCTTGACGCACAACGTTTCCACTGCTTTCAGCATTTATTGAGCCACCTTCATGATTCATGAAACGAAGATGAAGATGACGCTTATGAAGCGAAGATGAAGTTCATGAAACAAAGATAAAGATCAAGATGCAGAGCATAAAGCTGGGATGACATTCTAATCAGGATCACGTTCCCCTGCGAATTGCACATTTCAGAAACGGTGATGTGCGCGAAGCGCGTGAAAAGACACCAACATGAAGATCAAGTGATTGAAGGGAAGATCAAATGCTGACGTTGATGATCCAATCGGACGTCATGACCCCCCCACCCAACCCCCAATTCTTGCGGGAAAAGAACATCATGACTATTGTGTGGTCAGCGGCACATAAAACAATGTTACATCAGTAGAAGGTCCCAAAATGCAAAACAAACACAGGGGCCCATAGCACTTTTTCTTTGCGGACGAGTTGTATGGAGCCTCCGACTCCTTCCTTCAGGAAGATCACAAGCACCGCTTTTTCATGCTAGATGAGATACATGATGCTTCAGGCTGGTAGATTGCTGTCAGTAAAATAATATGACCTTGTGTGACTACAACGTTACTTCTAGCTTTCGACCACAACAGAGATTCAGAAATTGGATAGATCAGAAACTGAAGTGACAGATGAATTGTGCCAAACCTGAAGCTGCTGTTCAACAGAGCTGCAGTTCAAAGTTGGTGGAGATTGGCAGGTACCACTTGCTTTGAAGCCCTGAAGAATATGAAAGCGGTCACAGACAGCCTGGGGTACATGCCACGGTCCTAGTCGAAACCACCTCCTGAAGCATGGCGGCGCCACCCCTTTTGAGCCCAAAAAGTGGCTTCGCACGGAACCGGGCCGCTTGAGGCCCGATGGGCCTTGGACCCAGTGCTTGGAGAAGGCCGTGAAGTATGAGAGCACCAACAAGGCTCAGCACTTCGCACGGGCGGTTCAGCACGGTGCGGCCCACGGGGCTCGCTCCGTCGTCAGGACTGGAGGCGGGATCGTCGCTACCAAAGCCGAACAAGGACCCCGCAAGGACCAGCCGGTGAAGAGCTCAAAGGCAACAAAGAAGTAATCGTGGTCTCCAAATAGATAATGACACTTGTCTTTTTTGTGGGGATAAACCTTTCTATTTATTTGGGGGTCTGTACACTGTGTTTGTGTCGCTGCAAATTCTTTGCCATGCATTCCCCGTTGGCTTTCACGTGATCTTGATGAGGTCAGGTGGTGGAGCTTTTTGCGGAGAGAGTCGTGGAGGCTCAAATCCACCTGGAAGACTGCCTCAGCAACATCGAGGCGTTTTGCATTGAACATGAGTCGTGCATCAATGAAAACCACTCTGACAAGTGAGGACTTTCGTTGCTACTGCATGAAATGAAGTAGCCTTGAAGTGTGCAATGCGTTGTTGTTCAACCAAAAGCTCCTGACTTGCTTTGCACTTGCTCTTCTGGCAGGACAGCCATCAGCAGCCAGCAGCACAGCGCATCAAGAAGCTGGCGTCATCCCTGCAGGAGACAGCCTTAGGAGGATAACTTCTTTATATATCTGGAACAGGTCCTAATTTCTAGGAGGGATGCTTGTGCACATTGCCTGCGCTTTTTGCTTGGTTGAAGAATGCAACATTCATTTTGTTTCGTGCTTAATTTAAATTGTTTCCCTAGAATAAAGGTTCAAGCATAATGTGATCACTTGTTAGGAGCTGATGATCCCTGCGCGGATGTGAGACGAGAAGTGATTGATACGATCCCAGATCTAGCTGCTAGCTAGACTTGCATTCGACTGCACAGCGTGGAGTCAGAGTTTGGAAGGAAGGGCATTGTTGTTTCACAGCAATTCGACAGCCCTGAGCTTGTGAGATGTGCCACCAGAGGCAGTCTGTGTCCCTTGCTTTCAGCCTCCTGAATGCATGAGCTGGACCAAGCTCAATGGACGGTTTGCGCAGCAGAACAAAGTCACCCTTGACACGTGGCTTATTCCGTTTCGTCTGTCAGTTCCTCCATCATCCTTTGCCATCCTTTGCCCTCCTTGCACTGTCGTACGCGACTAGTAGATCTCACGCAGCAAGGCTTCGGGCATATGCCCACGACACGCAGCACGAGAAGATCATCCGCGCTTGTGTCTTCGCCCCAGCGAGTCGACCAAGGTGACCCGTCGCCCAAAGGCGACAGCTGTCTTCCTTCGCCCATGGTTAGCTCGTCACCGAGGCCCTTGCATTGGCGATGATGATGTTCCGAAAGGAGGAAGAGGCGGAGCCCTTGATCCAGTTCGATACTCGGGATAGACCCAAGCCCGTGGAAGGCGGAACAAGGGGCCGAAACGTACTGGCGTCGCGGCTAAGGGAGATGCTCTTGGACAAGGACGCGATTCTTCGCTATGGTGGGTGCTTCGCTATTGCTCTTGCCTACGCTAGGAGCTTGGTTAGCATCAAGTGTGCCATCCCTTGCCTCGTATTTGTCTTGCATTGCAGGTGGGCACCTCGCAGAACGCAGCCATCCGAAAGCTTTTGCACATTTCCGCCGGGCACTAAAGCTCTCGAGCTCCATTCTCCGAGAGCTTTGTGCAAAAGACATCTGTTTTGAGGTGTCAGATGTCTCAGACGATGTGCGCCGAGCTGCAGTCATGGCGTGCATGTCTCAGAGCAAAAGTTGAGAGCTGCCGTGAACGTTGGGTGAAACACCCGCTGTCTCAGCGTGTTGGTTCTTTGGCTGAGTGGGAGCAGCCAGATTTTGTTCAAAGAAGTAGCTAGATTTGCTGTTGAGTCGCACCTCTGTGCCACACCTAGGTTAGGTTTTGTGATGTGCAACGTGCCAGAGCAACTTCCTGGTGTAGTGAAGTTACTAGCAGAGAGTCGATCGCCCAGCCAGAGTTGACGTCAGCCCTAATCACAAGCATTTTTCCAATCCATTCTCAATCGTGAGCATCCGATGACTGCAGGCTACAATCCACACGTACGCTATGCCGCAGCTATGGCACTTGGAATTGCTTGTGCTGGCACAGCACTGCTTGAGGCGTCACTGAAGAAAGCCTCGAGTTCGCTCGATTAGCAGGATGGCGAATGTTATTCTTGGAGCTGTTTCTCTTCAACACAACAAGGTTTGTTCAGTCTCCTTGTGTTGGGGTGGAAGGTTGGAAGGTGCGGGTGTGACATTTGATCCGGCGAAAGGGTTGTTGGAAGATGCGGCGAAGGTCTACCAACTTCTAGCAAGACCCCGTGAATGAAGAAACTGAAGCAGGAGAAAAGGCAAACGCCAAAATTGACAGATGTCAGAGATTATAGACGCACAACGCACAGCAGTTCATCCACTAGACTGGCAATGGCGCCCTGCTTTGGAAGGTTAGGCTTGTGACAGTTGGGTGAACCTGGGGTTCAAGTTCGGACACGACTAGGAGCATAGAGTATGCGAGAAGTCCAGATATGTCCAGATCACATTCGATAGTCCTGCGTTTAAAGGGGTGTGGTTCACGCACGGAGATCCACTGGAGCTTTGGATTTGATTGGACCTGCTTGGGACTTCTCATATGGCTGTGGGTGAAAACCGGGCAATCCTGGTTGACCACGGAAAATGAGCAGAATGGATTGCTCAGGTGGTCAACCTACCAGGGATTATATAGGGCATCGGTCTTGCGCAGCATGTTCGGCGCTTCTTACGCGTCCCTTGCCCTCTGTGCGGGTGCGGTAAGAGTGGGGTAGTCGTGTTGTTGACTAACAGAACGGAAAGAAACTAGTGGTGAATCAACCACGCGGTATCTCGCGAAGTAGCAGCAGCAACTCTTTTACACAGACGGCATATCTAGAAGGGCCCTGTAGGAATGGGCACCCCAGAAAAATCACGGTTAGCTCTCCAAAGCGACGAACTCTATAACTAAAATAACATCTCCGTTTGAACGGAATTTCTTCAAGAGTTTCATGATCAAACATCTGCACTTGGAGCGGCAGGTGAAATGGTCGGTTAGAGTGAAAAGGGGAATCGCATTCGAGATCAATGTAGGTCTGACGGTCTGAAGTGCTTGCATAGTTTCCACGAGATTGGGAAGGTTAGGGCGGCATGCGGGTCCTGAGACGTGCTTAACTCCAAACCAGAAGGGCCCGAAGGGCTACGGCAATTGGATTTCGCAAAAGCTGAAACGAGCGTTTGGCGACTTAAAGTTTGAAGTGTTTGCACTATATTGTAGAGTCGTAGAGTGTGTCCGCTTGTAACCGCAAGCACTGCTGGGTGGGTGGAAGTAACTGGATTTTGTCTGAGTCAATCGGAAATGCTTCTGTGCGGCCTATTCCCGGAAGATGGATCGGGAGGGACAGTCCTGTGGCCAACATCAAGGACATTGCTAACCTGGGATTAGGGCTCTGTCTTTGCTGCCATGTTATTCGCCCGCCGTTTTTGTGCGCGCGCGTTTTCAAGGCGCACAATCTTCTGCAGCCACTCATGTCTGATCCTTCGGACTTTGTCAGGTGGGTGGTGGCTTTCATTTTTTTGATTCAGCAGAAAGCAATCCATTCAGAACATGTTTGTGTGTGTATACACTACGTAATTACTGTATGGTGTAAAATACAGTGTGTAAGTGTACAGTATGAATATTCGTAAGAGCGAGCGCAGCCTGGCAGGCAAGGAGCTATCATTGTCACCTGCTTACTTGAGAGGAGTTTTGGTTCAAGAAAGATTTAACAGTAATGGAACGCCAAAGAAAGGGACCACACTTCCAGGACGCTAACACTGCCAATGGCCTAGGCCATGGGCTTGCTCTACATGCAGACTTCTCCGGGAAAGACGGAGCGTGTGAAGGTCCTGTTCCCATTGAAGAAGCGCAGGGTGGACAAGCAAGTTCAGTTGCTTTTGTGTGAGGAATTCAGGGACAAGCTGCAGAAAGTCATTGGAGACAAGCACGAGGATGTCCCAAAGCCAAGCATGAACTACCAAGTTTGTCCCAGAGTCCCAAGTCAGTTCACCTGTAACTTGTTACTACTAGCTTCTTGCTACTAGTAGCGATGCACCTTTTCCTAGTAGCGATGGTCCTGGCATGTTCTTTTTGAGGTCATGACTCGCTTTGGAGCGATTCTGGCCCATGGAATCATGGATGTCTGGAAGCTTGGGAATCAGAGAGAGAAATGAAACACAGCAAAGTTGCTCCAGATTTGGTCGAACTCAGAAGAAACAAGACAAGAGAGTTTATATATACATATTTATACACATCATTCACAAAAGAGGCTGGTGGGCGAAATTCCTGCGCATCACTCTTCTCCAAGTCCGGGGCTTCCACCTCAGCACTCGACGTTTGAGCCGACTGCCCTGTCGGGACATCGACGTCCGCAGCACGTGACGGTCAGGTGCTGCGCCGTGGTGCGGCCATCGGATTCTGTTTGTTCACGCAGATGTGGTACTGGACGCAAACTCAGAGACATAGATGATGTGACATACGTGGAAAATCACATGTTTCCAATTTGAGCACACATTACAGCATCCTGAAATGGGCAGCGGTTTGGAGAATGCACAGTCAGTTGTCAAGGTTCCCTCTGATCCACATGTTCTCGCTCACCTTGACACCAACAGCATTGATTGGTCAAAGCCTTGGATTTTCCTCAGACTATGCAGGCAGCCGCTGCACATTGAAGACTGTTCTGCGACTAAGGCATCACGGATAAGCTGAAGATTCCCAAGAACTTTTCAGTGCCATGCTGAAGATTCTGAAGTAGGAGGGATTTCTGGTAGCTGCTTTGTGTGGCAAAAAGACATGGCACAGCATGCAAACAAGGTCAAAAGCGGGGCACGGCCTTCAATTTTTGCGTCGCACCCTGAGAGTGCTTATCTCCTGGATGGGAGCGACAGTGTGGCCCTAAAACATGGAATTCCCATTGTGGGCCGCTCTCGCACAAGGGTTTGACCGTCTTGGCATCCGCAGAGTGAATGTGCCTTTGGTAGGTATCCTGAGCCCTTGCAGCCTCCAAAGAAGGAGGAGACCGCCAAAGCGGCCACTGCGGTGCCTTCCAATTGCGTCCAAGTGTGATTGGTTCATGTCGTCTTTGTATTGACCATACTAGCCTTTCAGTCACCGACCATCACTGAATCTGGTCCATCCGCAAGACCTAAGGTGCTCTCGACCGCTGCCAAAGCAAAGCAGTTGAAGGAAAAGAAGGACCAACAATCGATCGTCAGTTGCAAAAACCGTTCGCCCAAGATACCCGAGCTGAGCATTTTTTCAAACACCCACAGGAGAAGGAGGCCAATGAGCTCAAGAAGGCGTGCAGCTCCTTTGAGGCTTCAGGAGAGGTGTAGCCTGTTAGGTCCCCTCGGCGGCTTAATTTATCGTTCTCAGGTGGTCATTGTTGTTGATCTACTTTGATAAGATTTCGTTGCTTGTAGTTTGGGCCACTCATCACTGTTTAGGCCTCTTCCAGTGCTGACGTGGACATGGATGACAAGGTCGGGCAAGAGTCATTTGGGGCAGATCTTTAGAAGTGACACCAGATGTTAAGTTCATGTATGTATGTGGATCACTTTTGTACTGAATGGAAAGTCTCTGAGTGATGGTGACATGGTGCCGCGGCTGCACATGAACACATGATTTTGTGAGAGACATCGGTTGCAAGAAGACTAAAGGTCCGTAGGCGTGGCAAAGGAGATTTGAGGGACTCGATTTGCGGGCAGCTTGAGAAACAAGCTGGTCTGACAGCATCAAAATCACTTGTGAGACTTGTGAGCTTCATTTTTGCATTTTTTTCTTATCCTTTTTCTTCATGGTCTCCGGAGCTCCCTGGATGGCGTGGGGCGCCGGAGCTCCCTGGCTCCAGGCCTCGATTGGTGGCTCGGTCGCTGAAGGCGCAGCCAGTTCAGTGCGAGGAGCCGACATCGAAGCTTGGCGGATTTCGCTGATTCGCGGTGTGGGGACTGGGGATTGAGTTTCAAGTCCTGGTTTTTTGGGGGGGCAGTTTCCAGAAAAAGGAGGCTCGCTATATGGTAGAATGGATTCGGAGCGAACATGGAGTTTTGGTGCCCGAAGACTCAAGACTTTTCGCTGGACTTGACCGTGTTGCTTTGTGCACCACCCAGACGCTCCAAACAGCCCTGGGTCCCTCAAAACCTAGGAATTTGAGACCCCAGACCCCTCCATATGAGGGTCCATGAGCGTCTGGGCAGTATCTTGGTTTGCTAATGTTTACTCAGGTCTCGGTGGCAGCTGCACCTGGTGCTTGACTCAGCTCTCACGAGCTCTATTTTTAGAGCATTTTTTTTTCCATGTCATGTGGAACTTTGCTTCGCGTGTTAATCCCATAACTTCCAAAAAAAGCCTCTGGAAAGGACGCCATGCTCTCAACCTCTTCAGCGTTTGAACCGCGTAACCCGCATCTGAACCCGCACGACGCGGAGACGTTAGACCTCGAGGCACCACAGTGGTGGGCTCTGCGGCCACCGAGTCGGTGGCGGCCAGCGACCTGGGGAGCGAGATGATGGAGGCCGCTGGGGGCGGGGCGGCCGCGGACGTGACGGCGACAGTGGGCGAGGTGACAGGGCAATGACTTGGGAGCAAGTTTGTCGGGGCAAGTTCTGGGGCACATCCCGGAGCTCCGGTCCAAGCTTCGCAGCAGTTTTGCATATATGACTTTATGCTGACATTGTCATGGTGTCATGCTGATATGTTTTCAATCCATCAGGCTACCACACATGCTGTCATCTGAGGTGTTGATCTTGCTGACACTTAGCACTTCGTCATGCTCACATGCTGAGGTGTTGCCGATATGCTGACACGGTGTCATGAGGGCATGTTGTAGCGTGGTTAGCGTATGGGGGCATGTGGACACGCTAACATGTTCTATATGCTGGCTGTCATTCTCAGGCTGTGGTGCCGATGTTGTCATGCTGGCACACTGACATGGATCACCCTAGCATGGCGACTCTTGTTGCACTGGAGTGCTGACGTCGGGTCATGCAGTCGTGCTGACATGCTGGCAGGCTCCAGAGCGGGATCCGGAGCAGGTTCCATGGCTCTCTTGCTTGTTGCACAGCTGTCATGCTTGCACATATGTGGGCACGTGCATTGCCATGTGGTGATGCTTGGATGGAACATTGCAAAAAAACCACGTGTTTCAAAGCAGCATTGTTTGGCAAAGACATGGCGCTTGCCAGTGAACTTTCGATGTTGCATTCCGAAAAAGGCGAATTCATCCCGACGATTGGGGATTATATATATATATGTAGTTACGGTCTTCGCCTTGGGCATATTCTTGCGGTTTGGGCTGAGAAGGGGGCTCAAAGAGTAAAGAGTGGGTCTGGGTTGTGGTCGGTTGACATGCGGTTCATTCGGTGGTGGATTGGGTCTATACTATGAGGCAACTCCATATATTTGAGTGAGTAAAAGGGTGAGAAAAGTAGAGATTTGTCTCATGGGCCTAATTGACTAAGGAGGTAAATAAGCACATCCCACCCTCCCACCAGCCATCAGTGCCACTTCGATGAGAATCACGCTGTCACCAAAATGTACGACTAACTTGCCATGCCAGCCACTTTCATACGAATGAGATCTATTGAGTCAGAATGTAAATAATAGATCCCGCTTCACCACGTAGGTCACATCAACAGCAGCAAGGCACAGAAGCAACATCTACCAGCGACGAGAACCTTTGTGCACACTACGACGGACCAATTCCCCATTGAAACCAGATTTGCCAACGATTGCATGCTTGGCGAAATCAAGCAGTTGTACCACTTTGCTTTCCCTACCTTTCACCACCTTCTCAAGCTTTCGTCTCCTTTCCTTTGGGAAAGCCACAGCCTGCAGGTTGATGAGCAGGCCGTGGCAACAGAGAAGGTGAAGGAGACTTTGTGTGACGCTGAAAGTTCGATGCTTTGTCATGTTTAGTCACTCGAAATTCGCTCGTTCAAACACAGCCCCTTCTGCTGATGCCAAGCGGCCAAGCAGGAACCCAAGATTGAAGAGAATAAGGCTGAGGCCTTGGACCGTGGTTGATACTCCGCAGCTCGAAGCTCCAGCTTGAGAGCTCGAATTTCCAGGCCGCTCCAGAGCAGAAGGAGGAGAAGAAGGTTCCACGCATTTTTCTGCACAACGACTAGCTGGGGTCAACGAATGTATGGAGAAAGAACATGCAGAGTCCTGCCATGTTGCAATGAATAGCATGGCTACAGCCGAACCTGAGTTTCTTGGAAAAGCATTACAATAGCTTTGGACGGGACCATGCTTTTCATGCAGGAAGAGAAGAAAGAAGAACCTGAGCCCACTGAAGAAATCCTCAGCAATCCGTGCCGAGCTACTTGGCAGCACAAAGTGGCTTGTTGCACTGTTTGTGCCGTTGACAGCATTGTTGAACACAACCCAGGTACTAAAAGGGCAGGTGCAGTACATCTCTTTTCCCAAGGCCGGGGGTCTCTTCAGGATGCATGAAAGGAACCTTGTGCTACCTGCTTCCTTTAGCTTCCAAAAGCATTTGCACTTGATGTGGCTTTTCGCCTTTTCCATTGCTAATGCAATCAGTGTCCACAATTTGTGTGTGCACCGGTTTCACTGACGACAGCTCGTTCACTAGTTACACCGACGACACTGATTACACCAACGGCACCGGATGCACCAACGGCGCCAAGTGCACCGAGCACCAGTGTGTCCAGCGTATTCAGCGTCACCAGCGTAATCAGCGTGACCAGCGGAACCAGCGCAACCAACGCAACCAGCGCGATCACTGCCGCCAGCCAGCGTACCAGCCCACGACAATGTTTTTGCACGCCACTGGCGCGACAAGGACAGTAGACGCAACTAGTAAAGAAGACTTCTACACACCTCCGCTTCTGTAAAAGTTCCTGACAGTACGATCGGCGTCACGTTTTCAGCGTCACCAGCGCAGTCATCGTCGCAAGCGCACCCGTGTGTAACCAGTGTCACCAGCGTAATCACCGCAGTCAGGGTGACTGCCAGCATGCTACTTGTAGTGTCCCAGCGCACGACCCTTCGCGGACCACGTCGCTCGACTTTTCGCCCTCTACGTCGTTCGGGGCCCGGATGAAAGGCTCTCCACCAGTGAACTCAACATGGTGCACCTTCTCTGTGAACCGTCGGCGGTTAACAACCAGAGCAAGCAATCAAACATTGTCAATACAGCCACCAATATGATGCGTTACTATAAACAACAACGGACAGGAAGAACAACTGCAGCTGCAACAGCAATGGCAACAACCAACAACACCAGGTTTCAAAGGCAGCAGCAGCAACAACAAGTCACTTAAACAAATGAATCTTTTCCGCATCAAGATGCCACAACCAATACAAACAGCCATGATAGCAACGAGAAGCGTCCCGATCACGGACATCCATGTGTTGCCGTTCCTTGGCTTCGCCCTTCTCAGTCCTCTCATCTCATCGTGTCTCGTGGCTCAACAGGAGATTGACGGCCAGCCAGTGCGGTATACGACCGGTCCTTAGACGGTGACGGTGGATGTTTTCACGCAAGCTCGGCGGCTGGGTGGTGACAGCCATTGACCATATGACTTTGAACTGGCCATTGCTGAGGCCTCTCCTGGAAAGCAGGAAGCAAGGCTTCCTTTTGCTTCGAGACCTTCGGCCAGAGGAGCCAGAGGACCAGCTTGCTTTGCTTCTTCACGAGCTGAGGAAGTTTCTGGAGCTGTGTGTTTAGACTATTAGAGTCTTTAGTCAGTGCACTAGCCATATCTTTATCACCCTGCCCTGACAAAGTAGACATACCAGCTGTTCTAGAGCTCTCCTTCTCTTCTCGAAGTTGTAGCTTCAGTCTTGGGTTGTGGTTTCCTTCCAGCCCGAGCTGGCTTATATTATAGGTTTCTTGTGCAGGAAGCATCACATACTGCTGCTGCAAAAAGCAAATATTGTTTGATGCGTAGTGTATTTGCATGTTCGGCTGGTTTCTATTATCTTGTACTTTTGGTGGAGTGTTCTGTTTCACCTATTTCTTTCACCGCTCTGCAAGCTCTGTAATTCCCTGTCTTCATTGTTCATTTCTTCCTCATTCCGCGTGGCTGTTGGGAGCCCATTTGTGCTCGCGGGAAAAACACAAAAACTGCTGCAAAATAACTTGTCTCCCTAGATATAAAATATATACCTCTGAAACTATCGGTTTCATAGCCTTCGCCCATGCTATACGGACAGTCCGTGCTGCCAGTGTGATGTCTGCAGAAGGTGGAGATCCTCTTTCATGAAACCGGGAAAAGCATGCCGTGCCGTCGGTGCTTCTTTTCTGCTCAACTTCTCTGAGGTTTTGGTGCGTTGCAAACGTGCAAATAAAAAACCTCCGACTTCAGCAGAGCTTGCGTGTGCGAAGGTGATTTTGAGTGTCAGGACCTGGTTTTGGAGAATGAGAAGAAGGAAGAAACCGAGGAGAAAAAGGAAGAGGGCGAGAAGGCCTTGTCATTGAATGGTGACAGGCGACGCTGTGCGGCGACTGTCTCATATCTCGTTGCAGGCGCCCGATCCTCCAGCCACAACTGCAGACGAATGAGCAGCGCTGCAGCACCAAATTCTTTGGTCACCTCATTCTCTCCTCAAGGCATTTTGCCGTGTAGCATTGGTTTTGGAACGTGAGATTGTTTGAGATCAAGTCTTCTCCACCAAGTGCAAGCCAACAAACTTTGACGCATCCAACGTTTTGTGAGGGAGCGAGGCTGGCATCATAGCTTTCCAAGACTGACTTCGAACCTGCAAGGATGTCTAGTGCCAGAGGAACGACACTTCCAAGATCTATGGTTCCAATGTTGGCTGATACGACTTACACAAGTCGGCCTTGCGGGGACAGCCTCAGGATGAGGCTTCGTCTCTGTATTTCGATGCCTGGACAGAAAGAATCTGATGCAAAGATCAAAAGAGTTGCTTTTGGTCAATGTCTCAATCATGACACGAGTGTTATTTCGTTGATAGAATTGGATCTGCCTTCTTCCAAGCTCTTCCAAGCAGAATTCAGAGTCGTCCATGCCAGGAGCTGACTCTTTGGGCCTGGCTACATCCCTCAATGAAGGCAGCAACATGTGACATGTGAGGGAAAGCTGGTGTCACTCACTTCCCTTCTTGTACCACGTAATGAATGGACCAAATGAAATGACATGATATGAATTGTTTGGGTCAGCCCTGGCCCACCGGTTGGGTCAGAAGGATGCTATCAGTGACTTTATCTTGTGGAGATGGCTGAGCCTCATTTCTGAGGCGCCTGGCGGTTTTGCGTTCGATTCCAAGGTGCCTCGTATGCCAGTTGGATTGAGATTGCGCATGGACGCCTTGGTTTTGAGAAGATTTGCCACGAACTTGCAGGCGCATCCCTTCAAGATTTCTCCGGGCATGACGGTAGTTGACCTCATGGATGAGATGGAATTAGCAGGGTTCACAGTCCATGCAATGTAGCTTTGCTTGGATCGACTTCCACATGCTTAGGAGTACGAGAAAGCTAGCGGGGAGACTTTGGAGCTTCAGGCCGATTTCTTTCAGTGGCTTCTGGTTAAGCTCGTTAAGGGCTGCTTTACCAATGTGGTATCCCATGGTCCGAGCTCAAGCCATTCACAAATGATTTGATTGATGTCAACCTCGGGTGTGTGGGCTCTTCGAGTCCTTTAAGCACCTGCGTGCCTGCTAGATCAGCCGTTTTCCTGTTTTTGTCCGACAGATTGAATCCAGGTCTTTGAGAGTTTTGAAGGATCTTTTTCATGGATTCTTCGGCTCTGCTGTTTGTTGCCCGCATGGACCAGTGGAAAGGTCTTGAGCACAATCAGTATGATTCATCAGCCCGGAACCTCTCTGCTACAAACCATTTGTTTCTGTGCAGATCAATGTCCTCTGGAACACGAAGGACGCATCAGATGCGGGGCACGTGAAACGCGACCAGCATGAGCCAGTCGATCCGCAAACCCAGCTTGCTAGGTATGCGTTTTTGGTCTGTGCAACAACAGGCTAGCTCTATTGCTGCTTCGCGCTGCCCGGAGTTTTGCAGGACCCCAAGAAAGCTTTGAATCCCACGGAGAAGGTGTGAAGATGGCAGTGTTGCACTTCAAACTTTTAACTAAACTGAACAAGACATTACATGCTTTCTGCAGTTTGTTCATTCATGGGGATTCACGTCGCTTCGCGACGGTAACCGCCCGCACCGCATGGAAGGGGCCAATATTTCCACCGAACATAGCCCCGGAAGTGCCCCCCCCCCTCCCCAACGTGGCCGAGCATAGATTCCATGTTTCGAGATAGGGATTTAACATGGCCCAACGTGTCAGGCAATATGAAAGCTATGTTTGGCCACGTTAGGGGGTGTTTTTTATTCCAGTTTACGACGTTCAAGTCCCTATCTCGCAGACACTACCTTTAGATAGTGACTTCTAGGGCTATGTTAGGCAATATCTTCACTC